ATCCTATGGCTGCTGAGAAGTGGGATGCTCCTACTGCATCCCAGCACTTCTCCCATAAAAAGCGTGCCCCAACAGGACAATTTTAGACATGTAAGGCTGAAGTGTGGAGAGATGGGCCATTTGCAGGTGTCAGCTGTTTGAAGGGGGAGCTGCTGTTCAGGGACAAGCAAACTGAGGTGGATGTTTGTGAGAGGAGAAGCTTTTTAATTGGTTTAGCAAAAAAATAACAATTTTGGTGTAAACATCCATTGTACTTAAGACGATGCACAGAGAAGTGAATTGGACGGTAGTAACTACTTGACTGAACAACTGAAACTGGTGGTTGGCATTGTGTTGCTTACGTGAGGGCCCACAGTGTTGTCGTGTGTTGCGTAAGTAGTAACTTTGGTCATCAGTTTTTTGCAAGGAAGCAGGATGCATATTCATATACTCTTCTTGAGGGCTGTCTGAGGTTGTTTTATTTTCAGAACTGGTTTTGAGATTCTGAGCAGGTGGTTTGCAAATCTGCCAAGGCTGTGTGTTTCCCATGCTCTGTTGTTCTTGAGACTGAATTGCATTGTTATGATTTTCTTCAGCAGAAAATGTTCGCTGTGTATTGTTAATTCCTCTTTCCAGTCTTGTGACAACACAAAGTAGTTCAGCAAGTGCTAATGGTGTTCTGAAAAACTTTAGTTTGCTGCTGCTCTGTAAATTTGATACCTGAAATGGAATGTGATTGGCTGTGTTCAAGGTTAAACCCTTGCGTATGACCATACCTCTGTCATACCCTCAGGGACACTGCAGCCATTTGGAGAGGGTGCTATGCATCGTATTATTGGGATAATTCCATTGCAAAGCAGGAGTCCATACTTAAGATATGTAGTCTGGCAGTTGTATTGACTCCTGATTTTGAATGTTTAAAGTTAATAACCTGGATATAACAGACTGCAGTATAGGATAAAGCTATAGTGGATGCTTTTTCTGAAGGTGTACTGGGGACAAGAGTCTTAATAGTAGCATGAAGCTCTGGGCAGCCCAGCTTATACTGTGGCTGTAGCTAGAGTACTACGGGTTTATATCTACCAGGCAGAATACAGAGAGACAATAACAGCATCACAGGGGTAGTGAAAACCACCATAGCTATGAAAAGCATGAAGTGAAAATAAGCCACCCACAAAAGCACCAGTCAAACCCCTTTTCCCAGTGTGCTTTTCCCGATTAGCAACCTGTCTCCTCAGTCTGCGCTGTTACCGAGTTACTTCAGTACAGGAACTTCTTCCTGAAGTATTTTTTGGGGGTAGCCCAGACCTTTAAATTTGTTCTAGTCAACCTGCTGCAGCCCTGAGAAAGGGGTTGTCATTTGTCATAGAGTTATAGAATGGTTTGGGTTGGAAGGGACCTTAAAGATCATCCAGTTCTAAGCCTTCTGCCATGGGCAGGGACACCTTCCACTAAACCAGGTTGCTCCAAGTCCTCTCCAATCTGGCCTTGAACGGTGCCAGGGAGGGGGTTTTAAACAACCTGATGTAGTGGAAGGTGTAACTTACAATTACTGCCTGCTGGTTCATTCTTTGCTCATTAGTAAGCATCCTTCCTGCTATATTCACCTCTACAGGTCTGTGTTTTCCTGTTCTACAGAGGAGAGGTTTTGCATTAGTGTGGTAGTAAAGGGCAGCACTGTCAGCTCTGCAAGCATAAAAGCATGTAATTTATGAGACAAATATAGTGCTTGTTCCTTTTTATTTGCCTTCTGGTTTTGGAACTTCCAAAGTTTGTTCACTTTTTCAAAGTGACCCTGGGGGTCATGGGGATGTTGTTTGGTTTTGGACTTAAATTGAGAGTGTGATTTTATATGTTGTCATGAATCATGTTAAAGCATGATTCTTTGTTAGCTTTCTAACACAGTGTTAACACTCAAAGTGAAATTTAGCCTCTCTGCGTCTGTGTCCCAGGTTCAAGCTTGTCAGTCTCAGCACAACAGGAACTGAATTTGGTCTAACCACTCCCACTTAAATTCCTGTGAATTTCCTCACTGACTTTATTGAGAGGAGGATTTGCTCCTGCCTGGTTCATATGAGCTGTGTATGTGGTTTTTAATGGTTATAATATTGTAGCAGATCAGCTTTAGGTTAATGGACTTCTCAAAAGGTGGATTTAAACTACAGTGAGATAAAAGTAGCTATACGTTCCACTTGGCATGGTACCTGTAGGTATGAGCAGCCTTGTGTTCTCTGCAGCTTTGGCTCTGCTCCATAGGCAGTTCTGCATTCCCTAGGTCTGCGCCATGGGGCTGAATGTCTGCAAGAGGAAAAGGAGTGTCTTCTGTATGAGAAAAGTCTGTCTTCACAGAAGGAAGAAGTAGCCAGCGAAAGTCTGGTAACAGCCCTGGAGCTTCTTCAGCATATTTTCCACTAGTCTGTGTGAAGCCTTTCTTGATTATCTTGAAGGATACACAAAGCTGTTTTGCTCCAAACTTAAACTAGGACTAGCTAGAAGTGTAGGGTGCTAGTGCTTGCTTGAAAGTGAACTCTGCTCCTTCTGAAGTGACAGTTCAGGACGCAGCACCTACAACCGATGGCATTGTGGCTTTTGTGTTAACAAAACCATCTTCTGTGCTGTGACAGCAAACTGCAAGCAAACCTTTGACTGACTATATATTACAAGTAGGAGATTTTGGCAGAAATAAGAATATAAGAACATTCTCATCTTCTTTTAAATACTGTATACCTCTTGCTGATGTTCTGAGGTGAAAGCAAGAGCCTGCACATATGCATTGAAGCAACCAGAGAAGGAACGCTGAGAGGGCACAGCCCTCCCCTTGTCTTCCAAAATGGCATTTTAGTTTAAAACTGGCTTTTTGAAGAAGTGCTTTGGTTCACCTCACAGAGGTACAACTAAGAGCAGCTGTTTTCACTATACTTTCATCTCTTCTCTACTTTTTCTACTTTTGTGGGTTGTGTGTTTGTTTCAATTACTAAAACAATTTGCCACATACCCCCATCTTGTCCAGCAAAAAGAAGGAAACGCAGGTGTTGTGCATATTAAGACACAAGCTAGTGCTGTGCCTTTTCACCCCTGCAGAAGTTGCAGTCCTCTGCCCTCAGGCAGCAGTCCTTGCTACATGTAGTTTACTTGTTCTGATGTTTCTGTAAGACTTTAACGTTCTTCTAAGTCTTAAAGTTGATCTGGTACACAACACAAGTTATTTCTATGCTGTTTCACTTGTTCTGATATTTCTGTAAGACTTTAATGTTCTAAGTCTTAAAGTTGATCTGGTATGGAACACAAATCATTTCTATGCTGTAAGAAATCAGCAGGTGACTTCATATAATTTAGCTAAACTGAGATTGTCATAAAGTTTTGACCTAACAGCTCTCCCCAAATCCAGCTGCAAGTAGTGAATGTAAGAGCTACCTGGGACCTGACTTTCAGGATGTTTGATGGTTGTATGAGCCTCACAGGAGAGGGGGTGCTGATAGAAAGAGGGACTATACATATGGACTGATGTGCTTAGTAATTAAAAAATAATCTTTATTATAACTTAAATGTGATAGGAAATATGGTGAGTACAAATGCCACAAAACTAAAAGAAAAAAAAAATAATAAAAAAAAAGAAGCAGAAGTCAGTACAAAAGGACACCTTGGAAGAATTCAGCTGATGGGAGAGGTGTGGTATAAAAACCATAACATGGCTATTTTACCTGCTGCAAAAAGAGTCTATCTTCCTCAGTAAACAAGCATTTTGAACTGTACAAAATGTACTTTTTTAATTCAAGGAAGAATATATATTTATAAATATACAGATATGTACACTGTTGTAACATTCACAGTAAAAACAAAAACCCAAACAAAAGGGCCCTGGCCTGCCAAGTGTTTGGCGCACAAGGCTTCCTTTTGATGTGAACTGTTTGCAATCTTTTCTATGTAGCCTATGCAAATTTGTATACTTCAACTGACATCTAAATAGCATTTCATGCATAATGAACACAGTACAGGAACACTCTTCTGTTAAATTCTATTCACTTCCTCTGTTAACTTAACGCTCACAATCAACAGTTTGAAGTACTTACTGTCTTTCATCCTTGCAGTGGGGAAGGGGGGAATGCGTTCACTTCACCCTCTGTTTATTACTGCCTTCTAGGTCCACTTGTTCTAGTTCTTTGTATTGAAATGACTATAAAAAGCTATGATCCACTAATTAGAGTGTATGAAATCCAAGCCTGCCTGCAATTTACAGGAGCAAATGGCTTTGGGGACTCAATTATCTGTATTTAGTCTTTCCTGGAATAAATAAATGCACTTTACCTTTTCATTTAGTTTTCAGAAACCTACGTGATTGATCCCCCTCACAAATCTGCATTAATAACAGCTTGTAGCTGGAGGGCAATAGAAAGGAAATAAAAGACCAGTGAAGGCATTTAGAATGAGTCACCAAAGTGACACCTCCCAGGGTTTACATCATGCTGTTTCTGGAGGCAAATCTTGAAGAAACTTGCTCTGTCTTCCATTAATCAGAAGGCCAAGTGGTGTTCCTTGCTGCTGGAGTGTTGGTGGGAACACCAAGAGAAGGCTGCTTTGCTGTCCTGTTCAGGTAGCCTCCGACTTGTCCTTCTTAGGTACAGTATCGCACATCTCAAGCTTTCACGACAACTTCAAGGAAGTAAATGCAATACTCAGTAAAACAGATGAAGATGCCAAATCCTAAAAACTCAACTTTGTTGAAGCTGAATAACTGCGATTACATCATACATTACTGATCAGTCAGGATAGTTCCTCAGCATCCAGCTGTTCCATCATGAGCTGCAAAGAGGAGCCAATAGGAACCCTTAAGCTGGATTTTAAATGTTGCCTTTCCTTAAGAGGTCTGTAAATTGCTACATTTGAGGGCTTTCTCCTAGAATTCTTCAAAGTCTTCCTTCTGCTCCCCACACTGAAGTGCAGCCTCATCCTATTAATGCCTGTCACGTGTAGGCAGGTGCTTTTCCACCTAAAAAGCTGTGGCAGTTTCAGTTCCACGGCGGCTTCCAACTCTAACAAATTCCCGGGGAAATTTGTCCAGCTGTTCATATGCCAGTCTCCCATCTTCACCTGGATGCAAAATGTTAACGCATAATAATGTATTATGTCATTGCCCTACAACATTTAAAATACTGGATTCTCTGCTGTTAGGAAGTACTGTTCAGACACTAACTTCTTCCCCTTAAAATTCCTCTTGCTGAAGGCAACTTCAGAAATTAAATGGAAAAGTTAAGCATGCTCTGAATATTCAAATTATTTTATTTTCACATGTAATTTCCTGGTTTTATCTACAGCAAAGCAGACGTAGAGATGTGACTTGTATGATTAGATGACAGTATCTGTACCCTTGGCTTACTAAATGACCTGTGGTACTTGTCAAGATCTCAGTTGCAGCTGTGATATACTTGAGGGAGATGATGTTTATCTACTTCTACTTTGGACAGTATAAAGCTTACCCAATTCTCACTTCCTAACACTTTAAATAAGTGAGTCTAGCCACTTCTTCACTTTTACCACTGAAAACCAAGAAGCAGTCTATTTGCTAAATTTAACTATTTGTGTCTCTCAAACCCTTTTCTCTTAGGCACTGTCATCTCTGTGTACCTCAAGATAGAATTGAGCCTAGTGTGCTGAGCTGGCCATTAGGAACCAAAATGCTCTCTCTGTTTTGTCTACAGATCTCCCAGAGATTTCAGAAGTGTCCCTGCGCTAGTTGTTTTATAAAGTGAGCACTGACACGTCCAACAGCAGAGTGAATTCCTGCTGAACTGGTGAATAAAAGTATATTTGAAGGGCTTGCATAACTAAAATCACAGATGGGCACGCACATGGAGTAGAAATTCTTGCCTGATATAAAGGCCATTAAAATACAACTTTTCTCTACTGCCCTGAAACTACTGGTTTGAGTACGGATGCCCTGAAACTGTGCGGCCTTGCTTGCAGTCACACACTGCTATGCAGCTAGATTACAGATTAATGAACAGGGTATCTCTTGTCTCAAGGACAAATGAGGGTCAATGCAAGGTGCCTGAGTTATGGTGTAAAGGACTTGCAGGCTCGGGTCTGCCCAAATAAGCATATAAATGAACACTTGGCAGTGCTGATGGCATTTGGGCGTGTGACTGTGGCACTACAAGGGTGATTGATAGGAGGGGATCTCCAAGAGGGGTTTTATGAGATGCAGCAGGCAGTCTGCTCATCCTGCATCCTCAATGCTGCTTGGTTTTCAAATTAATTATGAATTATTTCTGTTTGTCAATTTCTCCTTTGCTGTTTTTAATTTTCTGCTTCATCCTCCAGGCTCACACAATTCAATTGCTCTTTCTGGCTCATTTTCATGGTTTTCAAAATTAATGATATTTAAGAATATATATTTTTTAGCCTGTTCAAGTTTCTAGGTAAAGCTTTGGTTCAATTTAGAGTCTTATGCTTGCATAACTTAGGTATCTTACATACTGCTTTGTCAAAAAAGAAAATTAATACTGCTCTAAACCAGGCAACTCACCAAGGGCAAGCAGGGTTTCGGACGCCACTTTTCTGATCTCTTCATTGTCAGACTGACAGAGTGTGACCAGCATTTTAATACTCTCGGTAGCCTGGGAAGTGCAAAAGATAAGATAAACTTTGTCATCATCACAGAGCCTGGCTGTTTTTGCCATGAAGCTTCTAAACCGTTCCCAAACAGTACAGTATCTGTAAAAGGAAGCAGTGCAGCAATGCAAAACAAAAACACTATTGCTGCTGCTGTTGCAATTCCTATTTTGCTGTTTGTACCTCTCAGATATCCTTTCTTTAAAGTAAAGCCAAGAACCACAATGAATTCAGTGTCTCTTACCTTCAGGAACCTTAAAGCCAAGCAAGCTGCTTTCTGCAGCTGGAGGTTGGGCTGGGTTAGTGCTTCACAGTAATAAATCAAGGCCTGAAAAAAGATAGAGTAATGATGAAAATGTCTGTGTCTCTACGGAGCAGAAGGACTGTGGAGGCATTGCTGCCCTGCTAAAGGGAGAGGGATTGCTGAAGTGAGCACATGGGATGGAGAAGCACAGCCCCTGCTACAGGTAATATGGTGGGATAATTCCCTACAGCAGATAGGGAATTGCCTGCAGGCCAGGCCACTAGTTATTGCTTAGTAATCTCAGGCCAGCTTTTGGTGAGGAACAGTTCATGTGAAAGCAAGAAGCACAGTCTGGCATGCTTGAGAGCCTTTCCATATAAATTGCCAAAGAGCTTTAAATGGGCCTTGGAGTCTAAATAGCTCAAGACCTGACCCTGGAGATCGTCTCTCTAATGCAGAGGTAGTAATGAACAGTCTGGGATGGACCCTAGGGGGACTGCAGGTATCTATTATAAGGTTAGCATGAGCTGCTAGACCACTTTACTGTGTGGCCCTAGAAATCAGTAGCTACTGCTGAGCAAACAAACCAGTGTGAGCAGCAAATCTCAGCAGCAGTTGGCTGCACAATGAATTCAACTGCAGCATAAGGCTACATAATGCCCTCACACAAGGCACCTTGTGGTTCTTCCTGCAGACAGTGAACTAGGTATCACCTACACATGCCTGTTCCAGGAGGAAGTTCTGTTTCACCTGAGATGCTGCCTCCATGGTGCTGGGGTTGGATGGAATGAGATACCAAGAGGATGCAAAACTGGAAGATGAAGTGGGAGGGCAAGCAAAGAGGGGATTGGATCTACAAAGAAGAGCAGCAAAGAGTGAGCTCCTTTTTCTCCTCTCTCTGCCTTCTTTCCGCCACTTATCCTCTTCCAATTGCCTCTTATTTCACTCTATCCTGACAGGGAACAAGAAGGATAGCTGGGAAAGGTCTGCCATGAAGGGGTAGAAGCCAAAGCCTGATATCTTCTTATTCTTCTTCTCCCTTCTCTTTCATTTTTGGGTTTAATCTGGCCCTGCTTGCTGCCATATCTGTGACAGATCTCAAAGCTGAGCTGTGTCTGCCCAAGGTAGTCCATCCCTCCCAGAAATGGTGGGAGGTCCCATAGATGCCTCTTTTGGAAAAAAAAATACAGAAATCCCAGACCTAATTCTTTGCATGTTGGTGATGCTGAGGACTATTGCCTTGAAGCCTTGGGCTGAAGCCAAGTCTGAGACAGGCCAGCAGAAATGCTGAAGTGTGGAAGATACCTGGAGAGCACAGCAGTCAGTAAGTACCTCAGTTTTGGTTAGTACCTGTTTAGTGTAATGACAGATAGAAGCAGACTGGTGTAATGACGGAAACAGACCTGCATATTTGCAGAAAAATTAGATGGGAAATCCCCCTGGGTAAGTTTAAATCAAGCTTGGAGCAATTACTTTATATGTGTAGACATTTGAGACACATAGGCAGAAAAAACGTCATGACGATACAGGTCTCTTATGTGACAGGTGATTTTCTGCCACTTACCTTCTCCCTGAAGTGCCTGTTTTCTGCAGTAGCTGTCAGAAGTGATGCCACAGTCTCACTGACTTCATTTTTATTTTCATTGAGAAGTAAAGCCAAAGCTCTCAAAACTTCTTGCTGTGGTGGAAGGTTATTGGAGTTTATTTTGGCCACGTTTTGCTGCAGTTTTCCATCTTTCACTGACTGCAGCACCTGAACCACAGAGGCTACAAGTGCAGGAGAAAGGTCCTTGTTATTTATTTTATCCTTTCAATATCCCAGATTTCCCTGCCAGCAATCCTCAATTTATACTATGCAGACAAAGTACACAAAAAAATCCCCCTCTGAGTAACTGCAGTATTGCAGTGTCTGCATGGGGAAGGAATTGTTTGGGCTGTAAATTGTGCTGGTTTCCCACCTGTTTTTCCAAAGGAGATGAATAGATGGGCTAGGTGGGACACTGCAGCATTTAATGCCTACTCTGAGCTAAGGGCCTACCTGTCAAATCTTCACTTTCTGCTTGAAGATGCAAATCCTCTCCGTAACAAGTGAAACCCACACCCTTGTCAGGGTAGTGACTTCCTGAGCATCTTTATGAGAGCTTTTCCTAGGCAGATTGATGTCCATCACCCAGAGCCATGTCTAATTGTTCCAGAGGAGGGCTGAAATACCTTTTTACTTCCAGGTTTTTGAGTAAAACTCCCCAGTAAGCCCAAATAATAATGAAAAACTAGGCAAGGTTCCTCCAATTCCCTCTCAGAGAAGAAAACTTGGCACACCAGGGAATGCAGTGTAGAACACTCTAGATGCTCTGTGAAGCATCTGCTTCTCTTTAGCTCTCAATGGCAGAGCCTGTCAAACACTGAACTGCTGTGATACCTTGGCTCCTGAGAATCACTCAGGTGTCTTCATTAAGGATAGTGAAAAACTGGAATGTCACCCAGTCATCCAGGCAGGCACAGAAAACCTCCCAGCCCACCACCATCAGTCATTTCCTAAAAACTAACTTTCAACATAGTTTTTCCCATTTGAATATGGAAATGGAAACAACTGAGGAAGCATCTCCATCAGCTCCTTTCTTTCAGTGGGTTCAGGTGCATTTGGACCTGCTATCCAAGGCACTTCCTTGACTCTTTTGCCCCCTTCTTTTGTAAAATTAGCTTCTGGGCTGAACTGTTTTGAGCTGAACTCAGACACCAATGGACTCCCCTGTTAGCCACCAGAATTTATATATCCTACCTTCTTTTGCGAGCTGCAGCAAATAGCTTCCAAGGTCATTAACACTGTGGCTGGCAAAATAGTTGTAATACTGGAAGACGGTAATGATCTCAGAGGACATGCTGGAGTAGAGGACAGGCTCCGTCCGATCCAGGATCTGAGACACCAGGATCCTGAAGACTGCAGGCAGTCATGGACATAGGGAGATATCAGTGAGGGAAAACAGCTGCTGGCAAAATGCCGCAGTCTACTTTAAAGCCAGAAAGAAAGAACCATATTTGCAAAGCCAGATACTTCCCAATGTTTCTAACCACAGCTGTGGCTAGGTTACAAGCTAGACACACCTTCTCCCTGCCTAGCTCTTATCACCAGAGGATATCTTTGTAAGGATGAACCTCTGCCAGTTTACTGATGGTTAATGCAGATATCTATCCCATCAATACAGTATTCTTTCTACCCGAATGATATCCTGAATCACTAAACACGTATCTACATGCACTGTCAATTACGACTCTGCGATGCCACTGTACTTCACTGAGATGCTCACAGAGACAGGATTTGGCTTTTGGCTTTGCTTGTTTTTATGTTCCTGCGTGAGCATGTGGCATGAAGAAAACTAGTCTGAGGCACTGTCTGTAAGAACTGTAGCATGGAGGAGGAAGGAAAACAGTACTCTGGGTAGGCTTCTGCAGTGCAGGTGCTCACTCCTGAGCAAGTCACCCTGCTTCCCTGTTCTGTCCCACAGACATCTAGTTTTCAGATAAACTCACTCGAATGTGTATGAATTTCATCCCCAGTGCACTGTAACGGGGCATGGACGTTATACAGACACATAAAATTACGTGTGAGGATTTGTACTTCAGCTTGTACTTTGGAATAGACTTACTTTCCAGTTAGCTCATAAACATTAGATCATAAACATCACTATATTTTCTTTTCTGCTGACCTCACCTTTTTCCCCTATTCTGATCTCACTATTTGGGGCCAAAACTGTTTTAAGAGTTGTAGCATTAGACTTAAAATACAATCTTGAAGCTGTGACGAAACAGACCTCAAAGGGTTTGGAAAACAAAGCAATGAACGTCAAAGCACACAACTGTTCTCCATTTTGATAACTGACACTTTTTTTTTTCTGCAGTAGTTGGTACCTGTTTCTGCAAGTCCTGGACACTCCTCATTCACAGTGGTGGCAAAATTGGTATCCAGCTGCTTCATCATCTTGTCTGCAGATGTGTGATACACTCCTGAAGGGCCAGTACACTTCATCCAGAAAGCCAGCAATGATAGCTTCTTGTGGAACTCTGGAATTGCTGGAGGAGAAGGCAATATGAACAATGAAACAAAGCAATGCTAGAAGCATCAACTTCCAGAAGAGAAAAGATGGTAAGAGCAAAAGAAACCTCACCTACTGATAGACAGTTACTGTTTAGTGCGTCGCCTTGTGCCATTACCTCTACAGAGTGTGATTATGTGCTCACCCCAAGTTTGTGCCATACTTTTTCTGTTTCCCATAGCAGGATGTGAGAAAACTTGCTCCTGATCCAGCTCTGGGCATTCACGTCTCTTCCTTTTAAATACCACAAAACACTAGGGAAATACCACAAATGTTCTGCACAAGACTGGTCCCTTCCTAGCACTGCTTTGTGGCCTTGGGTAAGTCACTCAACCTTGCCTCAATTTTCTGATAAACAAAGTAAATACACCATGTTGTGTTTATGTATCATGGCAGAATGCTCACAAGGGTAACTATGTGCTTGTCAAATACTTCCAAGGTATTAAAATAGATGCATCAACAGGAAAAATAACTAAATAATTCTCCATAAAGATGGCAAAATAAAATTGATAAAATGTTCAAGAAGTTGTATTATGCCTCTCATAGTTATAAGGCAGATCCTGTCTTCCCTTGGGAAAGAGGAAAGAGAGGTGGAGGAAGAATTTGGCTCTTCAGAGGTGGCAGCATCCCCACTCTATCACAGTGGTGGTGGACCTCTGTCCGTATTCTACACAAGCAGGATAAGAAGTCCTTTCTCTTCTCAGTTGCTTGGTTTTGGATACCAGAGCTGAAGATGGTATAAGGTCCCTGACCTGCTGTGGCGACTGCTACATCTGCTGGTAAGTCATGAGTTGGCCCTTATTACGGTGACATCTCCTCCAGTGATGGTGAGCTCTGCACAGCGCTCATTTCAGCAGGCATGCATGCCCAAACAAACCATTTTCAGAAGGACACCCCCTAAATTGTCTCTTACCATCAGTAAGGGAGGTGATGTTTCCCAAGTTCTCACTGCTGATCTCCGCGATATTCTCCATCACGAGGATCTGCCTGGACAGCTTATCCAGGAGGTCTCTTGCCACAAAAGGTGTTTTACTGGAGAACACAATTTGCTGGTGGAGACAAATGGGGAGAGAGGAGAAGGAGTCAACCTCAGAAGAAAAAACAACTGGCAACTGAAGTGCAATAGCAAGTTTACTGCCCTGGAACCATGGCGTCTCCTTAACTTTGAACGTTATTTTTCTCTGGGATATTGTATGGTCATGGCTGATATGCATTCTTGCTTATATCTCGTATAACACCTACATCCAGACCCAGACACTTGATTATCCAGGCAGCCATTTGCATATGTAATTTCTGATTTACGCACTCTGCAAAGCTAAAGGAATCTATCATCATAAGCCTTAAAGCCAGAACAGAATATTAATCTGACTTTCACATAATATATGCTGTGGACTTACCTGCCTGGGGGCACACCAATGGTTGCTCTTTCTCCACTCCATTTCAGCTCTGATGAACTACTCGGGTGCCTTTATTAATTTGGTGCTTTCTCCCTGCTGCTGACATCTTCACGTCATTGTTCAGCAGTCCACATAAATATTGTTCATGTCCAATCTGCTCCATGTGTGGACAATAGCTTGAGCTCACCTCCCCTAGCTGAATATGTACTGTGTACTCTTGTATTTAAACCAAAACCCTCCCTTTTTCTCATACTTGTGAGTCAGCAGTGTCCAGCTCAGCACTAAAGGTAATGGAATTTGGCTTGCTCTCTATTGCTTCAGTGGGCCTCTGGGAAAATAAAGCTAATTATATCTACGCTGGAAGAGCCAAATAATCACAAAGGGGAAGTTGCAGTATGTTTTGATTCCCAGGGAAACCCTGAAGCCCTTGCTTGCTGGAGGTTTAAAATCACATTTCCTGTGCTCAGGTTCCGAAAAAAGAACGGCTCTAAAACGTTGTGCTAGTTAGCTGTGAGCATGAACAGACAATTTTGATGTCTGCCATGTGTCAGGGGGTTGTCATGTGCTGCCTTCACTGCGTCTGTTGCAGACAGTCCACCTCACTTGCACAAATTCATTTCTGCTCTTGAACATGGAGGCCTTGTCTCAGTGGGGCCACAGGCTTCTGGTTTACCACTGAAGACATGGGCTGCTGTAACCAGCGACCTATTTCATTAGGACCTCCTGGTGAAGCCAGTGGACATTTGTAACCCAGAGCAGGGCCTGCCCTGCCAGGATGGAAATCATAGAAGCATAGAATGATTTGGGTTGGAAGGGTCCTTAAAGATCATCTAGTTCTCACTGCCCTGCCATGAGCAGGGACACCTTCTGCTAGACCAGGTTGCTCCGAGCTCTGTCCAGCCTGGCCTTGATCACTGCCAAGGATGGGGCAGCCACAGCTTCTCTGGGCACCCTGTGCCAGTGCCTCACCACCCTCATAGTGGAGAATTTCTTCCCAATATCCAATCCCAGTTTCCCCTCTGTCAGTTTAAATCCATTCCCCTTGTCCTATCACTACATGCCCCTGTAAAAAGACCCACTCCAGCTGGTTGGGGGTGAAGGGTGTCACTGCCCTACCCCACACAGCTGCTGTCGCTGTGCTCACACTGCCTCCCAGGAGCAGCACAGACCCTGCTCGTACCCCACGTTACAGGCACACACCGGTGCCTGCAGGAAAACCCATTTCCCCAGAGGAGCTGTGCCGGTACCTGGATGAGCTGCGTGCAGTACTGCAGGTGCTTAACTATGGTGACATCCAGGCTGTCGTTCCCCGTGGTCAGCGGCAGGGGGCTGCCGGCCACGCTGGTGCCCACGCCGGTGTCCTCGGTGAGAGCTTCGCTCAGGTGTCCTCTGGCTTCCGGGTGCTCCGTCCTGTAACTGGGGAGGACGAAGGGAGGAAGGGTCAGTGCAGGGCCAGCCACGGCCGTGGCACACACACACAGACACGCTCACTCAGGGGAGAAGCAAGCAGCAATGCTGGAAGCAGCCACATCATACCGCGAAGGGGCAGCGCTGCGTGGCCGGGAGCCGGAGGGCCGTACCCACCGAGGGGACGGCTCTCTGGGCCCTGACTGGTTTTCCCTGAGCGATGCAATGCCCTGAACAGCAACCCTTTTTAACCTGCAGGCACTGTCGCTTGGTGGTGACAGCTTCCTCTCAGCTGTTGGTGAATCGCCTCCCCAGTCAAGGTGGATTAAGCACCGTTCGTGACATCCCGAGCACCGAGCTGCTAAGAACAGCTCTGTGCTTTCCTTGTCCTCCTGCTACCAAACCTAGTGCTCGTTGCAGAAGGAAAGGAAATCCACTGCTGGAGTCAGAGACATGATGTTTTCATAGGCTGTTTCAGGCAGAATTTGTACAGCTTGCTTTGCTAATTGTTTCTGTAAGAGCGTAAAGCTGGCCTCACTGTGTTTTAAATCCTTATATCCAACATTGTCTTGTACGAATGTGTTTAAACACAAAGCCTGAGGTCAGCCTCCAGATGGCAAGTGTATTTGGCTGCAAGTTCAGAAGTTTCAGCACTTGCAATCTTTACACTGAGTCGCACACTTACACATCTAAAAATGGAAGCAGGAATCTACACTGTCTGGGGATGAGCCAGAGGGGAAAAAAAGAAAATGTAACTAACTTCTACTTTCGCTTAAGGGATTTGAGTTGCTTTCCGAGTTAGCTTGTAACTGACTTACATTTTTGCTGCCTAATTTCAATTCATGCTAAAGCGCCTGGTTAAAGCCGGATCCTTAAATCAACACAGGCTGAATGAGCTCAGTGCCATTTTAGCAACGCCATTTTCCAAGTTTGTCTTCCCACCAAGTCATATTCTGGAGAAAAAGATACTCAGTGTGGTGGTGGGAACTGCATGGTGGCTGCTTGTTTGCACTCAAAATCCTTTTAAACAGGCCACAATAAGCTGCAAGAAGCATAGCTCCCCGGCTGGGAAGCAAGGGGTGCCAGGGAGCCATGTTCTTTTCTTTTTTTCCAGCTCTAGCACTGCTTATATGCCTGCTGGGCATTGTGTCAGCTGCAAGGATGCAAACATGCTTTTAGGATCTAATGACTGAAACACAGCATCTTAAGGTCACACAACAATGACAGACCATGGCACAAACACCACAGCTATTTCTTTTTGTTTTTTTCTTCTCAGAAAGACCAAAAGTGATGAAAGAAGGGCAGGTAACACGCAGGGCCATGAACAGAGTACCAGTCATCACTCTTACATTCCAAAGGAAACCTACACCATGCTGCTTAAATCTGGCCCTGTGTTATTGTTACTGACAAGCTTAATCCACTGCAAAGACTCATTCGGCTAGAGAGAAAAGACAAAGGGAGGGGGGAAAAACCACAGAGGAATTAGTAATTGCATCCAAGGAAAGCCAGGTCCAAACCTATGTCAAGGAAGAGGCTCTGCCAGTATTGATGTCAGCTTAATTTAATTTAACCTTCTCCTTTGGAGGACAGATTGCATATATTTCAACAGGGAAAAAAAATGATCCTGGAAGCTGAAGATTTTGTATGCAGCAGCCACGGGGAACCCTCTGACCCTATGAACTCATCAAGGATTACTCAAGTCTTCCTTGAATAATGTGTGCACCGGGATCCCCTGTTAGCGACAAAGAGCTAGGGTATCAGTTTGGCGTAAGCACAGCTGGCAGTTACTACAAACTTACCTATTCTTCTCAATCTCAGTATCTGAAAATACTGAGTCTGCACCTCCTCCACCATTACAAACCTCCACACCACCACCATCCTCATCATCAAAGTCAGAGGTGTTCAGGAAATCAAAGCTCTCTAAAGCACTTTCAACTGTTAGACTTAAACTGGAGGACCTGCTTCGGCTTACTGCTGGCTTGCACTGCAAAGGCAGAACGAACCAATGAAAACCCCAGATATTAGCTACTACTGAAAGAAAAGAAAAAAAAAGAATAAAGCTTAAAACTTTCAAATTCTTCATTTTATTTCTTTAAACTTCATTTTATTGGGTGTTTCATTTCAAACCTTCATATTCATAGCACATACAATCAAAGCCTGAGAACTGGAAAACCCCTTCCATTCCTCCTCCCCTCCCCATCCTACCCACTTTCCTCCCCAGAGCAAAACCCTCAAAGGCAAAATTTGATGTGTTTTATAGAAATGAGGAGTACAGCTTGAACCCAAGTGACTCAGCTTTCAGTGTTCTCTGAGAGGAGAGACAGCAATTAACACGGTGGAAGTTGAAAGGGGAGGGCATATTCTGTAGTTACTGTTCTCCAGCTACAGAAGCCAATTTCTAGATGTCCGATGGCACTGTGGGATTTATTCCAGATGTAACTCCAACAGACCTTAATCAGGAGTAAACATAGTCCCATATCTGCAGATTTAGTCATGGGATGAGAGGACTATTGTGGCCTTCAAAGCCACATGGCTTATCAAGGAAAAGCCAAATCAGGCATCAGAGTTGACAGAGAAAGCCAGTATTGTAACTGGGAAGTTAACAGTGGTAGAGAGTGGGGAAGAAACGTGACAGAAACTGTGCTGTTGCTGTAGGAAGTATCAGACACTCTGGTCCCACATGATGACGCATCCAGACATGCCTACAGAGTTGATTCCAGGGTCACCTTGCAGGAGCAGATATAGCTTGAAGGATCACCTCCATTGGTTTGTGCAGTGACTTCAACACCTTTAGCACCATGTGGTTATTAGATCAGAAACAGCCAGGAGCCACCAGTGCTGTTACACGAGGCACATCTTCTAGGCAGGAGCCAGGACTGTCTCAGCTTGTGGAAAGAAATCCATTGGCCTCTAAGCTGCTGCTGACTCAGCACCAGCTGCTCTAGAGCTGAGGGGGTTTGGAGTTCTGTTTCCAGTTCATCTGCACACAGTATTAATTTTATAGCAGTTGTATGTTAGCACTTGACTCTACAGCCAGGAGCTGGTCAAACACACTTCCCAACACCTCCGTGACACAGGTGGGTGCTGTATTCTGATTCCTCTGCCAGCACTGACTGTTTTAGCTACCATTTCTTTCATGACTTCTTCAGGCAAAAGCAAACAGCAACATGTGGGCTTCTTTTCTTTGCCCATCTATTATGGCCAAGAGCGATTTCTTCAGCCACAGCTGGATTCCAGCTCAGCGTTTTTGCATGGGGAGTCCAGCATGGCTGCTGGCAATGCAAGCTGATCAATAGGTGACACCCAGACATAAGCAGATCTGAAAGAGGCAATTCATCTCAAGAGTGCAGGAATCCTGTGTGCGTACATGTGTCCTCTCCCCCCCATCCCATCCTTTGTAACTTCTGATAAAAGGAGTGTAAATAAGCAGTCTCCATTGTCCCTCTGCTCTTGAATAGTTGAACTCTTTGTACAAGCTGCAGAGCAGCCAGAAAGTTAAAAAGTAACAGTAATGGTAGCTTTGCCCGCTTGAACCTCCTTGGGAAACAGTGCAAAACCCAGGGGCTACAGGCTGTTAAAAGACCACTTAACTTGGGGAAGTACCATGCAGCTGCGAACACCAATGGGAACAAGGATATTAACAAAGCTTTTGTGTAAAGATGATTCTGAAGGATAAACACATCCCTCCTTCCTCCTCTGCCATGTGTTTGAATGATGAGGCTTAAGTGATTACCAGACAGACTTGCATATGAATATGAAGCATTTGAAATGATTATTTCCCATATAATACTCTTTGCACAGTAATGCCTCAAGAGTTGTTACCAGTCACAGTGATCAGGAGTAAAGGTATTTACAACACACATGCAAAACACTTCTCTTTTTGTCAACACTTTCTGTCCATTCTGATGTAATGACAGGATGTCTCTCATTTTAAAAATGGAGGGGGGAAAGAGGAAAAGGCTTGAAAGAAGCCTAGGTGATGTGGGGATGGCAACCTTTAGCAGGACTCATGCATCTGAATCCCTTTGGTAATTTAGAAGGTTCAGATTCTATGGCTGCAAGGCCCGATCCTCAGCTGATGTAGTTTTACACAGCTCCACAGTAGTACACCCACTGAGGATGCGACCCATAGATTTAAAAGGCAGAAGGTTGGCTATAATCTGATTTTCAGTATGGCACAAAAGTGGTTTCTCCAGAGAAGGGTTTGATTTAATT